CTGTCTTTTCTCCATCATATATGTTTAGCACCTTTGTCAAAGACAAGTTGGTTATAGTTGTGTGGGTTCATATCTGGGTCCTCTATTCTGTTCCACTGGTCTTCGTGTCTGTTTTTGTGCCAGTACCATGCTGTTTTTATTGTTATTACTTTGTAATATAGTTTGAAGTCAGGTATTGTGATACCTCCAGCATTGTTCTTTTGACTGAGTATTGCCTTGGCTATTCGTGGCCTCTTGGATTTCCATATAAATTTCACAGTAGATTTTTCAATCTCTTTAATGAATGTCATTGGAATTTTGATGGGAATTGCATTAAACATGTAGATTACTTTTGGGAGTATAGACATTTTTACTATGTTGATTCTACCAATCCATGAGCATGGAAGATCTCTCCACTTTCTATAGTCTTCCTCAATCTCTTTCTTCAGAAGTTTATAGTTTTCCTTGTAGAGGTCATTCACATCCTTTGTTAGGTTTACACCTAAGTATTTGATTTTTTTTTAGGCTATTGTAACTGGAATTGTTTTCATATATTCTTTCTCAGTTTGTTCATTATTAGTGTATAGAAATACTAATGATTTTTCTATGTTGATTTTATATCCTGCTACCTTGCTATAGCTGTTGATGGTGTGTAGAAGCTTCTGAGTAGAGTTTTTTGGGTCTTTAAGGTATAGGATCATGTTGTCTGCAAATAGGAATATTTTGACAGTTTCTTTACCTATTTGTATTCCTTTTATTCCTTCTTCTTGTCTAATTGCTCTGGCTAGGAATTCCAGTACTATGTTGAATAGGAGTGGAGATAGTGGGCGTCCTTGTCTAGTTCCTGATTTTAGAGGGAAAGGTTTCAGTTTTTCTCCATTAAATATAATGCTGGCTGTAGGTTTGTCATATATAGCTTTTATAATGTTGAGGTACTTTCCTTCTATTCCTAGTTTTCTTAGAGCTTTTATCATGAAATGGTGTTGGATCTTATCAAAGGCTTTTTCTGCATGTATTGAGATGATCAAGTGGTTTTTGTCTTTGCTTCTGTTAATGTGGTTTATTACATTTATTGATTTTCATATGTCGAACCACCCCTGCATCCCTGGGATGAGGCCTACTCTACCTGGTCGTGGTGAATAAACTTTTTGATGTGTTGTTGAGTTCAGTTTGCCATTATTTTATTGAGGATTTTTGCATCAATGTTCATTAAGGAGATTGGCCTATAGTTCTCCTTTTTGGAGGTGTCTTTGCCTGGTTTTGGGATAAGTGTAATACTGGCTTCATAAAATGTGTTTGGGCGGTTTTCCTTCCTTTCTGTTTTGTGGAACAGTTTAAGAAGGGTTGGTGTCAGTTCTTCTTTAAAGGTCTGATAGAATTCAGCAGAGAGTCCATCAGGTCCTGGACTTTTCTTTTTGGGGAGACTCTTGATTGCTGCTTCAATTTCATTTTGTGTTATAGATCTAGTCAGGTGATTAATATCTTCTTGGTTCAGTTTTGGGTGATCATATGTATCTAGAAATCTGTCCATTTCTTTAAGATTTTTGTAATACAAGCAATGTTGTGACAGAATTTATTCACTGTTTGGACTGAGACCAAGGAAAGAAGTAATGAAATGAGTCAAAAATCAGATTTTTAGCTGGTGGTGGCTCAAGTGGTAGAGAACCTGTCTAGCATGCATGGGGCTCTGAGTTCAAACCCCAATACCACCTAAAGCAAAAAAATAGTCAGATTTCTAACTTTAGCCTTGTGGTCGATTATAGAGCCATAACCAAGACAGGGAAAACAGCATGTATGAGAGGAATTAATGGATTATTTTGGATGAAGTGATTTGATAAGCCTGTAGGAGTTCAGCAGAAAGGGGCAGAAGGCCTTTTTATTCGTTCACTTTTCCCTTTGTTATATTATTAAACATTCATTTAGTTACAATACACTGAACAATAGGTTAGATATTTAGAATACTATGATTTAGGACAGTCTCTACTTTAAAGGAGCTCATAGTTCACTGAATTATGACAGAACCTAGGCAGACAACTATAAAAATCATATAAATAGGTGCCCAGTGATATTCTGAAAGCAACGATGAAAGGCATCTCTCTCAGCAGCAGAAGTCAAAAAAATATTTTCTAGAAGTGACATAAGAGTTGAGCCTCAAAAGACAAGTTAGGCAAGTAGCCAGAGTTATAAACATCTGTGTTCCTGGGACCACAGTGATCCCTGAGAAATAAGGGTCCATATCAAGGTAGTAATTGACAACTCTCATGTACACTATTCCATGGATGCTATGCCAATTTGCAGTCAGAGAAAAATGGATCTCTTAGGTTCATCTTGGTTTGGATGTCTGGGTACCTTTCTAGGTAAATCACTAGGTTGGATAAGCACTTCTGACTTATCCAGGAAAGGTTGAATAAGCACTTATGAATCCAGGAAAAAGCATTCAGGTTCAGGCCCCAACATCTGAATCTTCTCTCTATTTTAGCTTTACTTGGTTTTTCTTTTTTTGCAATCATCTGCTAAGATTGCTCTCTGTTTTTCATTGTGGAAAACGGCGCTATTATTTTCTGTGAGATCACAGCATTTGGAACCTCACACAAAAGAATATGTAGATAGAGCAGGTAAGAGTATGGGCCCTTCAAACCATTCATTTTCCCTAAAATATTTTTCTCACCAGCTTCTTTCACTAACCAACACTCTACAAGTCAAAAATAATGCCCTCCAACAAATGTTACTGATGTAACTGGATATATGCATGCAGAAGAGAACCCATATCTCACACAATACACAAAGATTAATCCAAAAAAGGATCAGAGGCCTAATGTAAGAGGTAAACCTGTACACCTTAAAAGAAGCATATTTGTAAATTTTGTGACTTTGGGTTAAACAGCACAAACAAAATAATAAATACATTGTTCTTCATGAAAATTAGTCCCTGCTGGGAATACAAAATGCTGAAAGACAGTCAAAATGAAGTGAGAAGACAATCCACAGAATGGAAGAAAATATTTGCAGATCATGTGTCTGACAGTAACTTCTATCCACAATATACAAAGAATCCTACAACAATAAAAAGGCAATCTCATTTAAACATGAACAAAGAATTCAAGATTGTGTTCCCTAAGAATATATATAAATAGCTAATAAGCACATGAAAGAATGTTCACCATATTGGTCATTGGGGAAATGCAAATCAGTATCACATTGGCATACCACTTTTCACACAATAGGATGGCTCTCATCAAATATGACCCAGCAGTCCCTCTTATAGGTAGATAGTTAAGAAAATTGCAAACATGTTCACATAAAAATTTGCATGCAGATGTTCTTAACATGATTATTCACCACAATCAAAAAGTGGAAACAACTCAAATGTCTATCAGCTGATAATGGATAAACAAAATGTACTATTTCCATATGTTGGAATATTATTCACCCACAAAAAGATCTGAAGTACTGATCCATGTACAAACATGTATGAACCTCAAAAACATTATGATATATGAAGGAAGCCAGGCACCAAACATCATATATTGTATGGTTCTGTTTATGCAAAATGTCCCAAAATAGGCAAATGTAAAGATCTAATTAGTGGTTGTCTGAGGCTAGAGTTGGGAAAAGGGTAACTCATCCAATGTGTGACTGCTAAGTGGTATGGGTTTCTGTGTGTATGTGTGTGGTGATCATTGCATAACTTTGTGGGTACTTTAAAATCCATCAGATTATGTACATTAAATAGGCAAAATTTGTAGTACATAAATTATATATCAGTAAGGTTTTAAAAAATAAATTCTTTAAGGTAGGGTGGTTTTTCTGTTAAAAAAAATGTAAGTATTGTATACCAGTGACTCAAGTGTCAGCTCTTTCCAGTGGACAGCAAGCTCAAAGGAGGACTCAGAGTTTTGCTGACCCTGATAAGGGCACACAGTGAATGTTCAGGAGGGAGGGCAAAAGTGAGCCTGGGTATGCAGGAGGAACCACAAATGTGCCAACATCAGGGAAGATGAGAAGAGACCTCCTTAGGAAGACAGATGTAGAATATTTACTTCACCCACTTAATAATTTTGTTATTCCTAGCTTCATCTGGGAGTATATCACACCCTCGGACCACAACGAAGTGAATGGTTGATAGGCTCAGCAAAGCTCCAATTTATTGAGCATATAACTATGGGAAATGCACTGTGCCAGACACTGGGCTATAAAAATGTGTGACATGCTCTGCTTTCATAATACTTGCAGTCTAATATCTTACTGATAATAGAAACAGAAAAAGAAAGTGCTATAAGATGAAATAAGATAAAAACAGAAATAATAAAATGGGTTTGTTTTAATGTCATGACTAAATGACAAAGATAACATATATATGATACATAAAAAGTGGACTATAGGTTTTAAGAAATTTCTGTCTACCTAAGTTAAATGAAGATATTTCAGCTTTTATCAATGCAATATGTAGGAAAGGATTCAAGGACTTTCGGTCTGCATGGGTTACCAAAGGGAAACAAACACTTTGTACATAAACTTGACTAGAGGGCTGGTGGAGTGACTCAAGCAGTAAGAGTGCAAGCATGAGGTCCTGAGTTCAAATGCCAGTGCCACCAAAAAATAAATAAATAAAATAAACTTGATTAGAGAAGGGTAAGGGAGGCTAACTCAATCAGTTGTATCTATATTGATTAATACCAGGATTTTGTCAAACATAGTTCTGCACAGTGAGAGAAGTCCTTTTTCCATGGGAGAAAGAATGCCAGCTTCAAGTAAGTAACAAACTGGAAAGCCTGCTTCATTTTGCCTTAGGGTGTGAGGGCAGAAGTGGAAATGGGTGGCCTTTATCCCTGTGTGTGGCCCTTGCTGGCCAATAAGTGGCCAGCAACACAGGCAATTAAGTAGTCTAAGGAGAATATTCCTTCAGGTAACTACATGGAATGGAATGGGTGGTGATTAAAAGAAATAAAACATCGTGGTATCACAATGTACATATTTAATGAAAGCTTCAGTAATTCTCTTTATCTTTTTCATTTTTATAGCTGACATCAACTTGGATATATCAAAGCCTTTGAAAGCAAACCTGAGTTTTACCAAACTGGATCAGATAAATCAATATTTAAAGAAGATAAAAAATGCACACAGCCTTGCACATAGCAAAGAGACCTCAGTTCTTTCAGACACCACACTGAATAAGCTTGAACATTCAGTCTCCAAGTGTTACCGTGGCAAGTTGTCTAAACCTAAAGTTCATAGTGATGGAGTGCAAATTTCATTTCAAGAAAACATGTGGAGAGCCATTTCCTGCTTTCAGAAAATTTCTGTCCATACTACTCAAATTGTGGTATCCATGGAAACTGTTCCACATCCTGATAAACCATGCCTATTAGCATCTCTATCATACCTCAATGGAAGCCTTAGTGTGAAAGCAGCACAAAAAGTACCTGGTAAGTCACAGAAAAGGGCAGGGGAAGGGATGAAGAAAGGGGGAAAGAGCAAGCAATATAGTTTGTTTGTTTATTCATTTGTTTGTTTTGATGGTATCAGGGTTTGAACACAGGGTCTCACACTTGCTAAACAGGTGCTCTACCACTTGAGCCACTCTGTAGCCCTTATAGTTTAACTATCTGAAAGAGACATTTTGAAGATTTGTGCTGTGGAAGAGTTAAAAGTTTTAAAGATGGGAACATTTCTGGTTTGTGACCTTATCACAGAGACAGTTTTGTAACAAATTCTTTGAGCCTAGGTATTTTAATACCCTATGCTGTACGTATCAACCTCTTGAGGCATCTTCCTACAGATATTTTTAAAACTATTAATTTCTAATTTCCTTTTACCTAAAGTACTTGTGGTGGAACAACAGTGGATCAAGTTTTGTGAGCCATTAGAATAGTGGGTCTCAAAGTGTAATCTCAGGATCAAAAGCATCAGCATCACCTTGGACCAGGTTAGACCCCACCCCAACCTTTGCGTCAGACACTCTGGGCATGGATCCCAGCAAACTGGACTTCAGTAAGTTCTACAGGTGATTCTGATGTGCTGCATCAAGTCACTGGTAACAATTTATTTTAAAAAGAAAAATTGTTGTGGTGGCAGATATGCTACACAAAATGTAATAAAAGCCAAGATTCAGCTTTGTAAGAATGCTATTGAGGCATTTTATTAGGCAGCAGCACCCAGCAAGGAAAGGCTGTGCTTCTGTGTCTAGCCCAGTAAAAGAGACTTGCCCCACTGCAAATTCATGGTCATTGATGGGCGGAGAGGTTGAGAAGTTAACTGGCAGTGACAGCTTCATTTTTCTCTTCTGATACTATGACTAGGTTGTTAGGTGCTTTTTCACACTGAATCAAAAAGGGCAGGCAGAGGACTTGTGAGGAGGGGAAGAGAAATGTCACCACACAGGTAGGAAATAACAGTTATCAATCACAGAAACTGCTACTGTAAAAGTTGAGGGGGAAATGCCAGAAGTTTCACCCTGAAAGTAAAAGTAGCAAAAGGGAACCATCTTTCTTATATAATTTGTACAGGGAAAAAAAAAAAAGTAAAGGCTATGGGATAGCTGAGGGGATAGAGTAAATCCTTCAGCTATGTGCACCTCCATAGCTTACCAACAAATAATTAAGTAGCAGCTGGAGGCTAACTATAACTTAGTTCCATAGAGCCAGTTTAAGCACAGTAGTTAAGAAATAAAAAGGTTTATGGTTGGGAAGTATTCGTTTTAGGCCAAAACATAGATGATTTATTTCTTTCTCACTAGAAATATCTGTGACCAAGCCAAGCTAAAAGCTCTGTATCTTTTTTTATTGTCTTTAAAGCTAGAAATGAAAAATGCAAATTCATGGGACATGAAATACTATGAAACACTAGATACTACAATGCCCCACATATCTACAAATAAACTGCACCCCGGACAATACTGGAAAGGTTCCTGCTCCTTTCCAACTGTACCTTAATCATAGCAGGGAAAGGTTAGGACTCAGAGTGGGAGAATTTAAACAAACTATTTTCAAAATTCTAACTCCTTTTATCATCCCCATTCCTTTTGAATTCATTTGTTACTCATAGTTTGGTAAACATTTACCTCTAATATACAATTAAAATCCTTCTCTCATTGAGTCATACAAATTAATAGACTCAGCCTATTTTTGTAACTTTTTTGCCCCTTTATACTAGAAAAACTACATATCCCTTCTCCTTTTACAGTTATGCTCTGAAATCTAATTAAATGCAGAAATAGAAACTATAGCTTTGACTATGACATACTTCACACAACTCTGCTGGGTAGTATCCAGCAGGCATTCTAAAATAGTTACTTGTGTCACACTAAATCAAAATTGAAATTAGCCACTTAATAGAAAAGAATTTATTTTGGGACCATAACAAACACCAAAATCTATTTTTTCTACATTCCAGTTTTGAATGACAGCATGTGCAAACAGCTAACACAGATAAAGTCAGAAAAAATGAGTTATAATTAAGTGAAATAAGATTGTATCAAGTTCTAGTTATTGCTAAAGGTTGATTCCTAGGAAAACTATAATTGAGAGACTGCTACATAAAGATTAATTTCAAAAATGAATTTTAACGGGATTGTTATATAAAAATTTAAGCTTTAGACATTTAGTTGAATATCTTAGTTTCAATCTTTACAGTTTGAAATATATGCAAATATATATATGACTTCAAGGTATAGTTTGGACAAGTGGTAAATAATATCCACCAACACACACACATAGACATAAACCTCCTACCAGAAGTCATACTTCTTTTTATAATTTTTCAAGTAACATCATTTTGTATCCAACCAAACATTTCTATAGTATATCTTTGAGCTTGATGGGGTTAATGTCAGATTTTTTATAGGTTGAATCTAATACAGAAATACTTAACTGTGTCTTTGACTTCACAGTTTATGTAACTATTGTGGCCATCTGTAGCAGCTGCACTTTTCAAATTATTTGCTGAACCAAATTGAGCACAGTGACAAAAGTAGTCATCTCAGATGCACTATTAAACAGAGAGAGAAAAAGGAGCATTGCCCTAGTACAGTACAGCCATCTGCTGTGCAGATGTTATTGTATAGAATGACTTAAGATAAAATAATTGTAGAAAAATTTTCATTAAAACCTCAACAATTTGCACTTGTTTGTTTGAATCTGCATAGCTCCCCAATGAGACAACACACTTGGGGTTTCTTTGGTTCTCACTCACTTTCTCTTTGATCCTTTTTGATGTGCTGACTTTAATAAACACAGTCAAAAACACTATGAAAAACATCATGGAAAAAACTACAAAGGAACAATTATAGCAGCAGAAACTACTCTAATCCCTAACTTATGCAAACTATTTTTAGTGAAATATTTTTTAACACTCTTTATGTGACAACGTTATATAAACAGGGAAAAATGGTCCTTTCCAGATGAATTTTAATTTAGGAGCTGAAATAGATTTGTAATGCTAGAGGAATCTTATGTTCTAAGTAGTACCTTGAGAAATGCCATTGGGAATGCGTTGTAGACAAGTTTACTCACTTGTCAAAGGTAAAAAATAATTTCAGTTCACCTAATGATTATATATTTTTATCATCTAAACTGCTTATGGGAAGTATACATGGAATGGTAATAATAAAAGCATGAAACAAGAAAGTTAATGCTTTACCCGAACATTGTCAATACATTTAAATAATCTGAAATGCTTTCATATTCATTAATTCATTTTTCAAAGCTAAATAGTTACAAATTATTCACTAAAGTGGCTAAAAGAATTCCTGCTTCATTTTGTTCATATGGAACAAAATGAAATGGTTAAATATTTTCTGCTTTATACTAGAAAAAAATAATCTTTAAGTTCTTCTTCAACCTCCTGCGCTATTTTGCAACTTTAAACTATGAGAGTTTCAAGGGACTTGATTTCTTTTTTTAATTCCACCCTGCAGATGCTGGTGGAGCAATGACTTATAATAACTTAACTCATATTTCTGCTAGAATACTTATGTTCTCCCATGTGTCTTTAGTAAAATGGCCCTAAAGTTCTGATTTTAGTAGACGTAATGCTTATATTTTTTAAGTTGGTATATAATATTGCAGTGATTCTATGAGTTCATTATCAATAACAAAATGATTCTCACTTAGAAATTATATCTTATACTCTGAAATATTTGAAGGTATATGTTATTTGTTATACATTCAATCCATCCTATTCTATAGTATGTTCTTTAAAAAAGAAAGAAAGAAACCTCCCACACATACACAGAACACAGTCATTTTTTGCCGCTTGAAATATGTCATTTTGGAGAAACCCTAAGCATGTAGTTAGAAATTCTGAGCTGGCAGTACAGTTCTTTCCACAGGAGGGTGGGGAGTGAGCGGCACACTTTAGCACTCCTGTCAGAGTAAATTATGGCTATATTAGGGCAGTACTCCTTAGATTTCGGCAAACAAGAATAAACAGTTGAGAGCTTTGAAATCACTGGGCTTGAGGCTCTCTTGCTCTTGCTTAGGGGCACTTGTATTGGCAACTTCCACCTAGACAAGAAAGAGGGAAACAGGATATGAACGCGTTAACGACACAAAGGGAAAGAGCTGAGGGGAGGCCATTTTGGCTGGCGTTTTAACTGGAATTGGGGAAAATTGGAAGGACCCTCTCTCCGCAGGGTCATTAGGGACTTTCCACTCAGACCCAAAGCAGTGAGTTAAACTCCTAGTCAGAGAGTTTTGGTTTAGGTAACTTTCACTACCCCCACTGCAGTCATCTAGATGTGCTTATCTTTGTGTATGAACAAAATGAGAGAAAGAAAGCATAAGCATATCATTTTCCATGTATACAAAATGCCTCTTCTCATGTTCACCACATTCAGGATCAATAAAATGTAAAGAATTTAAAGTTCCTTTTCATGTACTGAAAAAGTCAAAGCAGGTCATTAATTGATACAAAGTGGAGCTCCAGCTTTTTGTTCCATAATTAACTGTATCTCCTGAGAAAAATCTCTTAAGGTGTCCTCATAGTTTTTGAATGCTGCAGAGATGCATTCTAGTCTAAGGGGAAATAAACGTTAAATTAGATATGACTACCTAAAGTAGTATGTTGTAATAATAAGCCATTTACAGCACCCCAAAGACCCTTGTTACTTTTAGAAAGAAAAAGCATCTCTTTCCAGTGCCTGCACAATGGGAAATGAAATTTTTGACAGTAAAAGCCAGAGGACAAACTTAAGCCATTGAGGATTGAAGTGAAAGTACAACTTGTAGACAGCTATACAAATCACTAACAAACCTTAATGAATATTGGGTGTGGGCATCAGGGTCCTGTCATTTTTGACACTATGTCCCAAGTAGCTTAAACTCAACACTGAAGGAAAGGTGGAGACCTCATTGGGTCTATAACATCTGGGATTTTATTTGTCATTTTGGCATAGCCAACAAGCGCAAAAGAAAGAGTAAAAGGGGAT